ACAAAACTATAAAATATGTATTGGAGCTGAGGGCTGATCTTCGACAAAAAATTCCAACCTCTATCAATCCAACACAAGTTCAAGGAAAGCGTTTTTTTTTTTTGTTAATTTCGATTTTCTTGCTAGAAAAGTAAACCAATTTAATGTTATAGTTTATACATCTGAAAGCTAATTTACATTCCTTTAATTTATATTAATTTAATTTACATTCATTTAAACAAAATAGCTCAAAACTGTTCAACGACTTGAGTTGTAAAGTTATTGAGTTGAGTTGTAAAGCGCCAACTGAACTACAATTCTGGAAACAATTCTGGTCTCGCTTCATGCAGGTCGGCGTTCAATCCCCGATCGCCAACGGTGAGTACAACTCACCTAGTTGTACTCACCTAGTTGCGTTTGCGGGGGTTGAGCTCTGGCTCTTTGGTCCCGCCTCTCAACCGTCAATCAACAGGTGTACAGATACCTGAGCCTATTGGGCTCTATCATATCTACACTTGAAACTGTGTATGGAGTCAGCCTCCACCACATCACTTCCTAATGCATTCCATTTGTCAACCACTCTGACACTAAAAAAGTTCTTTCTAATATCTCTGTGGCTCATTTGGGCACTCAGTTTCGACCTGTGTCCCCTTGTGCGTGTGCCCCTTGTATTAAATAGCCTGTCTTTATCTACCCTATCAATTCCCTTCAGAATCCTGAATGTGGTGATCATGTCCCCCCTAACTCTTCTGTCTTCCAGCGAAGTGAGGTTTAATTCCCGTAGTCTCTCCTCGTAGCTCATACCTCTCAGCTCGGGTACTAGTCTGGTGGCAAACCTTTGAACCTTTTCCAGTTTAGTCTTATGCTTGACTAGATATGGACTCCATGCTGGGGCTGCATACTCCAGGATTGGCCTGACATATGTGGTATACAAAGTTCTGAATGATTCTTTACATAAGTTTCTGAATGCCGTTCGAATGTTGGCCAGCCTGGCATATGCCGCTGATGTTATCCTCTTGATATGTGCTGCAGGAGACAGGTCTGGCGTGTTATCAACCCCCAAGTCTTTTTCTTTCTCTGACTCCTGAAGAATTTCCTCTCCCAGATGATACCTTGTATCTGGCCTCCTGCTCCCTGCACCTATCTTCATTACATTACATTTGGTTGGGTTAAACTCTAACAACCATTTGTTCGACCATTCCTTCAGCTTGTCTAGGTCTTCTTGAAACCTCAAACAGTCCTCTTCTGTTTTAATCCTTCTCATAATTTTGGCATCGTCCGCAAACATTGAGAGAAATGAATCGATACCCTCCGGGAGATCATTTACATATATCAGAAACAAGATAGAACCGAGTACAGAGCCCTGTGGGACTCCACTGGTGACTTCACGCCAATCGGAGGTCTCACCCCTCACCGTAACTCTCTGCTTCCTATTGCTTAGGTCCCCTAGTGCGTGTGCCCCTTGTGTTAAATAGCCTGTCTTTATCAACCCTGTCGATTCCCTTGAGAATCTTGAATGTGGTGATCATGTCCACCCTAACTCTTCTGTCTTCCAACGAAGTGAGGTTTAATTCCCGCAGTCTCTCCTCGTAGCTCATACCTCTCAGCTCGGGTACTAGTCTGGTGGCAAACCTTTGAACCTTTTCCAGTTTAGTCTTATCCTTGACTAGACTTGTGTGTGAGTGCGTGCGTGGGTGCGTACCCATCTGTATGTCCTTGCAGGGTCAAGTCACAGCTCTAAGCAATTCTGCTTTTCCTCGCAATTTTGACTTAGTTCAATACAATGACTCGGTGTTTATATGTGAGTAAGACGAACGCCTTCCCTATCAAGTGACAGGTGTCCCCAGGTGAGCACATTGTGACACTAGATTGAGGTGTGTGTCACGAAGACACACAGGTGAAAGGAGGGAGGGGGGGGGGGGGTGTGAGTGATGGCGGCTGTCCGCACGTATTCTGACCCATAAATTCACGCCTCCGCCATGAATAATGAGTCCTGTCATGAGTAAATTACTCACCACATTGTCCAGGTGTCTGGTACCTGTGACCATTACACTCAAGGGGGGGATACTATTTGCTGTTAATTAGGAATTTAATAGCGCTTGAGCGAATAGTCACCCTTGTGGTTTTTTCCACCCGGAATTGATACGCCATTACAGACAGAAATCACAATAGTGTGATGGATCAAATGAACAAATCCACAAGGGCCGTGACGAGGATTCGAACCTACGTCCGAGATCATCCCAGACGCTGCCTTTACCATGGGGGGGAGTTGTGTAAAACCCTGGTTTGTGTCTCGGAGAGGCTGCAGGATCAAGTAAGTTCAGTAGAACTTCGGTTTCAACTCTTTTAACCATGTCGTAGCTCAGTCGATATAGGCAGCGTCTGGGATGATCTCGGACATAGGTTCGAATCCTCGTCACGGCCCTTGTGGATTTGTTCATTTCATACGCCAGTTAACAGTATATGTTTTGTATATATGTATATGTATATTATATAACGCATGTTTGTGGCTGTTGAACACACACACACGACCCGGAGTTGACATGGCTACACATTTGAGAATGTTTCCAACCAATTAATGTTCTTTTTTCCCCATCTGGCAGTAAATAGGCGCCAGGAATAGATAGAATAGAGTAAATAGACAGCTGCTGGAGATTATAGACTGTGTAAGGTCAGTTTAGGTGTTTTTTGGGGTACTTCGATAACCCAATGGGATCATAAGAAATGTTCTCACTTGGGGGAAACTGGTAATTAACTTTCTTTTTACCCTGAGCTGTTGCAAAATTAATTCGATTTCTATCTTCATGTCAAGAATGACAACAAACGAGGCCCTTCCCGGTAAGGACAAGCCTTATAAAAAAATCACCAAAAAAAACATTGGGGGAGGGGATTTATGAGGAGAAAACGCCAAGCCATGACGACTATATAGCACTGGGAAGGGATCAGGATTAGTCCACAGCCCCGCTCCTGTGCCAGGTAAGTCCACTACGGGCTCACCATAGCCCGTGCTAATTGGAACTTGTACCGAGTAGCTGAATCTATAATAACAGCAGGATTAGGGATGAAAAGCTTTCAAGATAAGTGGTGAGAGTTGACAGATAAGACTCTGACCTATATGTAAAAGTCAGCAATTATACACAACATACTGAAGCAAAGATACTATACACAACACACACCAAATTCTAAAAAAAAAAAGTGCTCCAGAGAGAGAGGTTTCCTAGGATCAAGTCTAGTTGAGGAATCTTGGAATCTATTGCAATCCATTGCTGTAGCTTCCTAGAATCAACTGCAATAATATTTTTTTAAGTTTTAATATAGCAACCCACGTAGACACATATAGCAGACAATATATAACCAGAAAAAAAATCCATGGATATCAAAAAGTAATATTTAATGACATAACAAAACCCAAGCGACGTACGAAGACGGTAAAAACAAAAATACAACAAAAACACGCCTTGATGTATACACAGCGTTGTCACTATATACACTCACGTGTATTTCCAGTATTCCTACAGTGACGTCTGAAGGAGAAATGTGAGTAGTTGTATATGTGTATGTGTGTTTATATCATTATATCATTTATATATGTAAATATGGGGATTGACAAGCGACGAGAGCTTGTCAACACGACTGACAGTATATAGACTCTTACCGGTCATCGACAGCCAGTTACAGCCCCGCTCCTGTGCCAGCTAAGTCCACTACGGGCTCACCATAGCCCGTGCTACTTGGAACTTTTTGTTCCCATTAGCTGAATCTATAACACCAACATCGACAGGCGTTCTACCCCCCGGAAAACGGCTATTGGCAATTCGTGCTGCCGGCGAATTGAAGGGCGGCAGTCATTAAGGGTGCTAATTGCTGGACACAATGAAACAATTAGGATAAACAGTGCTATACCCGTAAGCGAAACAGTCTTGTCAAGACGTGAAATTTAGTTTTTGTATCGCATTATGACTATTACAAAACTGTTCATGTATTACCATAGATTGAAACTAGAGTCCTTTAGTTAAATTGATGTTATTTGACATAGACAAAACTAAGTACAGCGAACAAGGCGTTGAGAGAGAGAGAGAGAGAGACACAGAGAGAGAGAGAGAGAGAGAGAGAGAGAGAGAGAGAGAGAGAGAGAGAGAGAGAGAGAGAGAGAGAGAGAGAGAGAGAGAGAGAGAGAGAGAGAGAGAGACAGAGAGAGAGAGAGAGAGAGAGAGAGAGAGAGAGAGAGAGAGAGAGAGAGAGAGAGAGAGAGAGAGAGAGGAGAGAGAGAGAGAGAGAGAGAGAGAGAGAGAGAGAGAGAGAGAGAGAGAGAGACAGAGAGAGAGAGAGAGAGAGAGAGAGAGAGAGAGAGAGAGAGAGAGAGAGAGAGAGAGAGAGCAGAGAGAGAGAGAGAGAGAGAGAGAGAGGGAGAGAGAGAGAGAGAGAGAGAGAGAGAGAGAGAGAGAGAGAGAGAGAGAGGAGAGAGAGAGAGAGAGACAGAGAGAGAGAAACAGAGAGAGAGAGAGAGAGGAGAGAGAGAGAGAGAGAGAGAGAGAGAGAGAGAGAGAGAGAGACAGAGAGAGAGGAGACAGAGAGAGAGAGACCGAGAGAGAGAGAGAGAGAGAGAGAGAGAGAGAGAGAGGAGAGAGAGAGAGAGAGAGAGAGAGAGAGAGAGAGAGAGAGAGAGAGAGAGAGAGAGAGACAGGCATCTCCACATGTGAGAAACGGTGAACAACCTCACTGTAATACACACCAAATAACCTGGAACACACAACACACCTCCCCTGCCTGAGTACATTCCGAGAGCGACGACTCGCAGTAGAGAGTTTACAAGTGTCATCACCTGCCGGTGGTTCAAGTCTCTGGCAGCGCACGCGCGTGCGCCGGTGATGGAGAAAGAGAGAAGGAAAACACACAAATATGCAGTCAACACTTACCTTTATTATCCGGCGGGATCCTCAAATGGATCATATCCGGCATGACGTGTGTGCTGAAAGCTGGAAAAGCCTGATATCCGAGAGCTAATTGCCACTTACATAACCATGAAGCCCACTTCGCCAAGAACACTTAAGATAGCCTTAAGTATCAGACTTCACTTCGTAGCCTTTGTAAGTATCAAGCACTCAGCCCGTACTCATAAACAAAGACCAAAGTCCATTCCATCCACCCGCCAAACCCCCCCCCCCTTGTTTATGAATGAAAAACGACTCACGACTCACAACTGATGACATCCGAACACTTCCGGAACAAGTGCTTCGCTGACGACTTTTGTTCGAACGACAACGCTGTAAATGCTTCACCCACGTACTACAAATACAAATAATCGCCAACAGAACCTAAACACCTAACCTAACCTAACGTAACCTAACCTAACCTAACCTAAACACCTAGCCTAACCTATCCCTATATATACACAATATGCTAATACAATAATAATGTTAATTTAATTTTGAGAAAATTCCTGTTTTGAATGAACATGCTAAAATGAGATTTTAAAAGTTAGCATGTTAAAATTGATGCTTTAATGTATATATTATATATATATATATATATATATATATATATTATATATAATATATATATATATATATATATATATATATATATATATATATATATGTCATGATAACTAGCTTATCAAGACTGTATACCTGCCTTGGCTCAATAAATTTTGAGGCCCGGTTCGTGAGATGATTATCTACCTCTGTATAACCTCTCCCACTACCGCCCACAGGATTAATCAGATCAGATTAATATTAATCAGATCTGATGTATAATAAACGAACAAAAATCAATCTTGATATTAATTAATTTTCCCCTTATTATATACATTTCCCTTCTATTTCCTTACATTAAACTGAGTGAACTATGCCTTCGAAATTTTTCTCTCATGCTATGTAGGCCACATAAACAACTATTGCCAGCATGGAATGCCTTCATAAATCTTTATCACGCCTCAAAATTCATTTTTCAACCTCAGGGCTCTCTCTCTGCTAGACACTCTACGCTGTGTAATTACTGGAGTGCGTAGAGAGCGGTGACGATCTACGCTGATGAGTGACGTGGTAGCTTAATCTACCAGATATTAAGTAGCGTAAGTAGATTAGGTAGATTAAATAGCTTAATCTAGCTACGTCCAGTAATCTTACGTAGCTTAATCTAGCTACTTCAAGTAATCTTAAGTAGCTTAATCTAGCAGAGATAACCCTACTTAAGCGGGGTTTAGAACCCCATTTATTGACCTTAAATCAGTAAGTGGATCCCCAACCGCTTTCGATCGAAGCTCGGTGGATAGAACTTCGGTCTCACATACGTGGGGTCCAGGGTTCGAGTCTCCTAGAGCCCAGGTGAATGAAATAGACGAGACGGTCCTGTAGAAGATGACACACACACCTCACCCCCATTCGCAGGATGGGAACGACCTGGTAACGACCTCTATGCCTCGGGCACCAACAGCCTAGTTGACCAGACCACCAACCAGGAGGCCTGGCCAGAGACCGGACCGACCCTATTGATCCCCGAGAAACCAACACAAGGTATGGTATAATCCCCTTACATTGAAAACCTACAGGGAAGTCAAGAAATTTTATTCTCACTATACTCCCTGTACTCAGGGCACTCACTGTACTCTGAGTACAGTGAGTGAACATCACTGTTCACTCACTGAAGAACACACACTCAGAGTAGCACAAGGAACACCGCCACACGCAAAATATCCCACTTTACGTACGAGGAAAATATTGAACAACTTAACCATGTAATTTAACAGTGGTTCTGGGGCCAGATTCACGAAAGCACTTACGAACCTGTACATCTTTTCTCAATCTTTGGCGGCATTGTTTACAATTATTAAACAGTTAATGAGCTCCGAAGCACCAGGAGACTGTTTATAACAATAACAATAGTTGATTGGCAAGTTTTCATGCTTGTAAACTGTTTAATAAATGTAACCAAAGCCGTCAAAGATTGAGGAAAGATGTACACGTTCGTAAGTGCTTGCGTAACTGCTTCGTGAATCTGGCCCCTGGTCTTTACTAAATATACCCATCAATATCTCTGAAGCACGACTCATATTTATTTATTTATATACTCAAGAGATCTTACATTCTTGTACAGCACGTGTAGCGTTTTGGGCAAGTCCTTAATCCTATTTATACCCGGAATATGACCCGCCAAATCGTTTTAACAACTGGGTATATGCCCATTCAATGCTGGGTGAACAGAGGCTACAGTTAAGGATTGGTGCCCGGTCAATCCTCCCCCGGCCAGGATACGAACCCAGGCCAAAGTGTTCGCGAAATGCCAGGCAAGTGTGTTACCACTACACCACGAGGACTATTCCTTTTACTTCTGATCTTCGTTTGTACCTTCGCCCCTATTCACCCAGCAGTAATTGGGGATCTGGTTTTTAACCGATTGGCGAATCGTGTTCCAGGGAAAACTAGTATGGTGAGGCTTACCTTGAGTCGTAGAACAGAAAGCTCTCAGTCTGCTAACAGGAGTCAGCAATCATCAACGTCTGTACCCACCTGTGAAACAACAACAAATTATGATGCTTAAGAAACAGGTAAATTAATTTTGACATTATCAGGCCATTCTCCTGTTTTGGTAGTACTTATAGGAAGAATGAGGACCATAGTACATATTCCGACGTACAACGGAACTAGAAAGTAGAAATCGGTACTATTAAATTTGGACAACACCGGAAAACAATTTTCTACTTATGTTGCAAAGACAAACTAACCGAACCAAACCTTCGTAGGCGTAATACATGCTATCTGAGGCCTAATATAGTACATGTATGTGCTATACTAGGCCTAGGAATATTTAAAGTTTGACTTTTAGCTTCATTTTTTCGGACTCTATAAAGTGAATAGTACAAAGCTCTACTATCTAACTGCTTAGTACGTCAATATTTGTACTATAGTGCACATAGTTACAAAAAAGTACTATCTAAACAGCAGGACGGGATGGCATTATTGAAAAGAGTCGCATCAGTTGATTTTTAAATTTACATTTAAAATCACAGCAGTTAAATTTAGCAGTAAAATAGGTACCTGGGTGTTAGTCAGCTGTCACGGGCTGCTTCCTGGGGGTGGAAGCCTGGTCGAAGATCGGGCCGCGGGGACACTAAAGCCCCGAAATCATCTCAAGGTAACCTCAAGGTAACAGCAGAGAATAGCTTACCAAGACACCCGATCGACCAATTAATTAAAAAAACGACGTATTAGTAACAATTAAGGCACCGTCAGATTGACGTTTTTAATGTATTGGCTCCGATAGGTTATTATTTTTATTATTATTATTAGTGGTGGGGAGATATATCTTAATTAACACGTGTTATTTTATAATATAAAGATCTCCTAATCTAGTTGCATCAGTGCCCATCTCTCTCTCTCTCTATCTCTTTCTCTAATATGTGTGTGTGTGTGTGTGTGTGTGTGTGTGTGTGTGTGTGTGTGTGTGTGTGTGTGTGTGTGTGTGTGTGTGTATATCTCTGTCTCTGTTTCTCTGTCTCTCCCATATGTGCTTACATGCAGCACTTTACAATTAGCCAAATCGCCTCCGTACAACCGAATTCAGAAACAGTGGAATTGTGTCGTTGGAGAATAATTTCAGATTAATGGTGATATAATGACATCCCGCTGCAGGAAACTCACCATTAGGTACGAATAAATCATCTTAATGGAAACAAACCCGGCCTGTTGCATTGAAATATTGCACACTGAGGTATACATGTGCCACTGGATTTCATCATTTTGTTGATACATAATTTTGTTGATACATAATTTTGTTGATACATAATTTTGTGTGTGTGTATTCACCTAGTTGTGTTTGCGGGGGTTGAGCTTTGCTTTTTCGGCCCGACTCTCAACTGTCAATCAACTGTTTACTAACTACTTTTTTTCTCTCACCACACACACACATACCAGGAAGCAGCCCGTGACAGCTGACTAACTCCCAGGTACCTATTTACTGCTAGGTAACAGGGGCATTCAGGGTGAAAGAAACTTTGCCCATTTGTTTCTGCCTCGTGAGGGAATCGAACCCGCGCCACAGAATTACGAGTCCTGCGCGCTATCCACCAGGCTACGAGGCCTGTGTGTGTGTGTGTGTGTGTGTGTGTGTGTGTGTGTGTGTGTGTGTGTGTGTGTGTGTGTGTGTGTGTGAATACATATGTTAATCATTGATGCTTAGTGTTAAATCAGCTTCAGTTAAGCTTTGTTAGTTTACTGAACTTATGATTTGATAGTTAAGGGTTGACAAGATTGTTGTTATTTGTTTAAAAACAAAATTTACTTAGAATTTTTGATTTTTAACTATTTTAGGTACAATGGGTTCAGGTGTAATAATGTTATATTTTAGCAAACGAAGTATTTAAACTATATTGCTCATGAAATATACTGCGTTATTACATTAGTTACCCACTGCATATATCTGAAAATATTGGAAGTAACAACGTTTCCGTTCATGTTTGACCATAATTACGACTTGATAACGGTCCAGGAATGACCGAAACGTCGCCACGTCGTTAATTTTCTGGTGCGTGGGGGTCGGGTTACCAATGTTCTGCAACGTTATTTTGACGCAGCAGCGTTACCAAGAGTCACATTAACACATTCAACAGCCAACGTTACCCCAGTGTAACACACCGTTACACCCCCCCACCCTTCCCCCCACGTTACCTCTAGATTGCCATAGCCCGATAAGAGACCAAATTGAAATCTAAATCTTTGATAACGCGGCTGGAGCCAGGTGTCGAGATATGATAAATATCACCATTAATTTGCCTCACTTAGTCGTGCAGAGAATGCTAACGGGCTTTTTTAGGGGGGGAGGGGGAAGGCTGTTTTAGTTTGGGGTCCATTTTTAGTAATTAGAGTTCTTGGTTTCTCCTTCTATTGCGTTGCTTTTTTCTTTTAATTATATATTGAATTTTTTCCGGGAATGTTCACTATTTTGGGTTATTTTTTTGTTTTCTCTCTCTCTCTCTCTCTCTCTCTCTCTCTCTCTCTCTCTCTCTCTCTCTCTCTCTCTCTCTCTATTATATATATATATATATATATATATATATATATATATATATATATATATGACCGAAAAAGTAAGATTAATAATTCTAACACGAATTTTCTCAATCTTTCGTACATTACGCTTCACTGTTGGAGGTATATCAAAAATCAATTCTCCAAAATTCATTTTTATTTCTAGTCTGACGCGACACGGGCGTGTTTCGTAAAACTTATTACATTTTCAAAGACTTTTAGTTCACAAATACACAACTGAATAGAACTTACGTATCTCCGATTTTATATCTACATTTGAGTGAGGTGGGAGGGGTGATGTGGCATTAACACAAGACAGAACAAGAGGGGATATTAATAGGGTATTAAAAGTATCAACACAAGACAGAACACAAACAATGGGTATTGAATAGAAGTGTTTGTAGAAAGCCTATTGGTCCATATTCTTGATGCTTCTATATTGGAGCGGAGTCTTGAGGTGGGTAGAATATAGTTGTGCAATAATTGGCTGTTGATTGCTGGTGTTGACTTCTTGATGTGTAGTGCCTCGCAAACGTCAAGCCGCCTGCTATCGCTGTATCTATCGATGATTTCTGTGTTGTTTACTAGGATTTCTCTGGCGATGGTTTGGTTGTGGGAAGAGATTATATGTTCCTTAATGGAGCCCTGTTGCTTATGCATCGTTAAACGCCTAGAAAGAGATGTTGTTGTCTTGCCTATATACTGGGTTTTTTGGAGCTTACAGTCCCCAAGTGGGCATTTGAAGGCATAGACGACGTTAGTCTCTTTTAAAGCGTTCTGTTTTGTGTCTGGAGAGTTTCTCATGAGTAGGCTGGCCGTTTTTCTGGTTTTTTATAGTAAATCGTCATATAGTAAATCGTTTTATAGTAATATAGTAAATCGTATGACGATTTACTATAAAACCAGAAAAACGGCCAGCCTACTCATGAGAAACTCTCCAGACACAAAACAGAACGCTTTAAAAGAGACTAACGTCGTCTATGCCTTCAAATGCCCACTTGGGGACTGTAAGCTCCAAAAAACCCAGTATATAGGCAAGACAACAACATCTCTTTCTAGGCGTTTAACGATGCATAAGCAACAGGGCTCCATTAAGGAACATATAATCTCTTCCCACAACCAAACCATCGCCAGAGAAATCCTAGTAAACAACACAGAAATCATCGATAGATACAGCGATAGCAGGCGGCTTGACGTTTGCGAGGCACTACACATCAAGAAGTCAACACCAGCAATCAACAGCCAATTATTGCACAACTATATTCTACCCACCTCAAGACTCCGCTCCAATATAGAAGCATCAAGAAATATGGACCAATAGGCTTTCTACAAACACTTCTATTCAATACCCATTGTTTGTGTTCTGTCTTGTGTTGATACTTTTAATACCCTATTAATATCCCCTTTTGTTCTGTCTTGTGTTAATGCCACATCACCCCTCCCACCTCACTCAAATGTAGATATAAAATCGGAGATACGTAAGTTCTATTCAGTTGTGTATTTGTGAACTAAAAGTCTTTGAAAATGTAATAAGTTTTACGAAACGCGCCCGTGTCGCGTCAGACTAGAAATAAAAATGAATTTTGGAGAATTGATTTTTGATTTACCTCCAACAGTGAAGCGTAATGTACGAAAGATTGAGAAAATTCGTGTTAGAATTATTAATCTTACTTTTTCGGTCATATTTAATAATATATGTCTACAGGAAAGACTGCTACCAAAATATAATATATATATATATATATATATATATATATATATATATATATATATATATATATATATATATATATATATATATATTAGTATATTTTGGTAGCAGTCTTTCCTGTAGACATATATTATTAAATATGACCGAAAAAGTAAGATTAATAATTCTAACACGAATTATATATATATATATATATATATATATATATATATATATATATATATATATATATATATATATATTGGTGTATACTGGCAGCAGGTTTTCTTTCAAACATGTTTCATTGAATATGACCGCATATTCTGTATTTATTATTTCTGGTTTAGGGCTTCTATCCCTCTAACTATTTTCTTAGCATCAGGGCTTAATTGGAATGGGGGTTCTCCAAAACTCATTTTCGTACTTTTAAGGTGAAGAAAAGAAGTGATTTACTATAGAGTGTATTACACTTATTTGTATAATTTGCACGACGTTTCGAACCTCCATGGTTCATTCTCAAGTGAACAGATCTTACAATACTAGTTGATTTTATACCCGGGTATAAAATCAACTAGTATTGTAAGATCTGTTCACTTGAGAATGAACCATGGAGGTTCGAAACGTCGTGCAAATTATTCAAATAAGTGTAATACACTCTATAGTAAATCACTTCTTTTCTTCACCTTAAAAGTACGAAAATGAGTTTTGGAGAACCCCCATTCCAATTAAGCCCTGATGCTAAGAAAATAGTTAGAGGGATAGAAGCCCTAAACCAGAAAATAATAAATACAGAATATGCGGTCATATTCAATGAAACATGTTTGAAAGAAAACCTGCTGCCAGTATACACCAATATATATATATATATATATATATATATATATATATATATATATATATATATATATATATATATATATATATATATATATATATATTTGTATATTTAGTTTCCTGAGAGTAACGAGGGTTGAGGAGCCTGGCAGACTGCCCTCCGCCACCTTCTTCATGACCCCAGATCATTTCCTCAAAGGAAATCAAACTCCTTTAATAGAATCATGAGACGACGACCCATCATACTACTCCCCTCCCTCCCTCTCTCTCTCTCTCTCTCTCTCGTCTCTCTCTCTCTCTCTCTCTCTCTCTCTCTCTCTCTCTCTCTCTCTCTCTCTCTCTCTCTCTCTCTCTCTCTCTCTCTCTCTCTCTCTCTCTCTCTCTCTCTCCTCTCTCCCTCTCTCTCTCCCCTCCTCCCTCCTCAGCATCCCAAGTCACGGAGGCACTTTTCTTCATCTTGGGGTGATAGGTTGAAGGACCCGGCTGCCTCAGCTGGAATATGGTGTCAGGATGATTAGTGTCTTCCAGTATGATGCCATCCAGTATGATGTCATCCAGTATGATGTCATCCAGTATAATGTCATCCAGTATGGTGTCATCTAGTATGATGTCTTCCAGTATGATGCCATCCAGTATGATGTCATCCAGTATGATGTCATCCAGTATGATGTCATCCAGTATGATGTCATCCAGTATGATGTCATCCAGTATGATGCCATCCAGTATGATGTCATCCAGTATGATGTCATCCAGTATGGTGTCATCCAGTATGATGTCATCCAGTATGATGTCATCCAGTATGATGTCATCCAGTATGATGTCATCCAGTATGATGTCATCCAGTATGATGCCATCCAGTATGATGCCATCCAGTATGATGTCATCCAGTATGGTGTCATCCAGTATGATGTCATCCAGTATGATGTCATCCAGTATGGTGTCATCCAGTATGATGTCATCTAGTATGATGTCAGTAAGACTAGTGTCAGTAGGCCTTTAGTGTTAGTATAACTTTTAATGTATGCTTGAGTGTGTGTGTGTGTGTGTACTCACCTAATTGTGCTTGCGGGGGTTGAGCTTTGGCTCTTTGGTCCCGCCTCTCAACTGTCAATCAACTGGTGTACAGATTCCTGAGCCTACTGGGCTCTATGTCTGAGCCTACTGTGTGTGTGTGTGTGTGTGTGTGTGTGTGTGTGTGTGTACTCACCTAAATGTACTTACCTAAACGGGCCAACGAATCGAGTTTCTGTTCGTCGACTCTGACTTTCCAGCAACTTTCATTGAGTCGTCTGACCCCAACACTCACCATACTCATATCTCCCTGTGTTCGCCGCAACTATTTTCCCGTCTTGTTCATCCCATTCGTTCGCCACTTGCACGCTGAAGTGTTATTCCTCAACTAATACGTCTCATTTTGTACGTAATGGTCCCCAGCGAACACATTAGAAAGTACAATGAAAAAGTAACGGCTTCCAAATACCCACGTTTTCTATGTATCGTTAGGTTAAGGTTAGGTTAGGTTAGATGAGGTTAGGTTAGGTTAAGTTCGATTGCTTGAGTTTGTACGTTCTGTAATGGCTAAACTATAACATCTCCAGATAATCCTCTATAATCTCTTGCTGTCCTCCTAAATCCTCCTGTCTTAATCCTTCTTAGAATTTTAGCCTCGTCGGCAAACTTTAAGAGGAATGAGTCCTGTGAAAGAAAGTCCATTGCGGGGCTCACCATAGCCCGTGCTACTTGGAACTTTTTGTTCCGAGGAGTTGAATCTACAACAACATAGGTCCGAGTATAGAACCCTATGGGACTCCGCTGGTGATATCTCGCCATTCTGAAGTCTTCCCCCTCCCCCCCCTCACGGTTACGTGCTGTTTTCTGTTGCTTTGGTATTATGGGGCCAGATTCACGAAGCAGTTACGCAAGCACTTACAAACCTGTACATTTTTTCTCAACCTTTGCTGGCTTTGTTTACAATTGTTAAACAGTTAATGAGCTCCGAAGCACCAGGAGGCTGTTTATAACAATAACAACAGTTGATTGACAAGTTTTCATGCTTGTAAACTGTTTATTAAATGTAACCAAACCGTCAAAGATTGAGGAAAGATGTACACGTTTGTAAGCACTTGCGTAAGTGCTTCGTGAATCTGGCCCCTGGTATCCACTGGAGCACTTTATCTGTCATTCCTGACTGTTTCTCCAACTCCAGCACCAGTCTCTGATGGGGGAACAGTATCAAATGCTTTCTGACAGTCCAAGAAAATGCCGTCTGCTCACCCTTCTTTTTCTTGCTAAATTTTTGTTACCTTGTCATAGAATTCTATTAACCCTGTGAGGCACAATTTACCATCCCTGAACCCAGGTTGGTGGAGCGTTATAAAGTCCCTGCAGGTGCTGCAAGATTTTTCCTCACGATTTTCTCCATCGCCTTGCATAATAAGTTAGGAACACCGGCCTGTAGTTCAGTGCCTTTTGCCTGTCACTCTTTTTGTATATTGGAATTATGTTAGCTGTCCTCCAACTTTCTGGTAGGTCTCCTGTTTACATTAACTGCATCCGCGTGTGTGTGTGTGTGTGTTCAACATTAGATGAAGCTAAAAACACAAGTTGATTTACCTTGAAGAGTGCTAAGTTGAGCAAGGGAATACCTCTTCTGTCAATTAGATCTTAAGTCCACTAAACGCCTCTGTAACCATTAACACCGCCACTCACGGCATGAGTATGGGGTACATATCTTCCCAGTGATAGTGAATTGGGAACCAGTGACAGTGAATTGGGAAGTCCTCAAAGTGGAGTGAAGAAATGACTGATTGCCACAAGGATTGCTACTAGAGCCCATAAGGTCTGGATCATATGCCACATAAGCTAAGGTATCCTTCAAGATCTGTGACAAGAGTGCCTCTCAAATGATATTTTCAACCTACGTGAGACCACTCTTAAATATACAGCGCCGGCATGATTGAATCCGTCACCTCAAAAACACAAAATAAAGCTCGAGAACAAGCTATGCAACAAGGCTATAATGCCTAGGAGAGTCTGTGGTAGATGGACTTAACCACACTGGAAAAGGAAACAGAGGGGACATGATAACGACATATATGATTCTGACTGAAAATTAATATGGTTTCTTTGCTTAATTTGTAAAAGTGAGGAACAGCAGAATGCGCATCGAAGAAAACTAGAGACACAAATGAATTACAAAGGATATTTTCAGTGTGTTTCAAATAAAATGAAGATGAAGATTATTTAGATGAAGCTACTTAATTATAATTATTTTTTAAGCTAATTAATACACAACTATATATGTAAATGTGGTACGAAAACGACATAACTGAATAAGTGCTCCAAAGTTCTAATATATCAAGAAGAATGCAATTACAAAGTACTTACAACAAGTTAACGAAAATATGAGGAGTCGTAAGTCGTTCACTTTATATATATATATATATATATATATATATATATATATATATATATATATATATATATATATATATATAGTCATTCACTCAGCCTGAATGACTATATAGCATTTGGAAGGGATATGAAGACAATGAGCTAGGATATAAGGACAAGGAGCTAGGATATAAGGACAAGGAGCTAGGATATGTGGACGAACAAACACAATGGTGTCCAACCCCTTGAACCGTCAGGGATCGAACGCCGACCTGCAAGAATTAATAGCATTTGGAAGGGATATGAAGACAATGAGCTAGGATATAAGGACAAGGAGCTAGGATATAAGGACAAGGAGCTAGGATATAAGGACAAGGAGGCCGAACGCCGCTGAATTAATAAGGCCACTGCTGTACCGACCAGTAAAAGTGGCAATTTGATTACATTAGCCAGACAAATTTCAGCTAAAAGTCTTCCTTAACGAACCAAAACATTTTGTGAAGTATTTTTTAACTGCATCATTCACCCTAGTGAAAACATCACCACCACCACCACCAACGTGAGAAGGGACCATGATTGTGCATCGCCAGCAAGGTGGATCATTGCCAAATGTTCACTGACCTTTTTTTTTCTTTTTTCCAACCCTAGGGCGAGCGCGTGGTGCTTTTGTTGATACACAAACATATAAATCTTCCACTGTTGTGTTTGGCTCCAATGTATATAAGCGCCATTGTAAAAAAGTTGGCCTCGATCTCTGCTAACATTACACACACAAAAAAAAAAAAAATCCAGGTTATTTCATTGGAAAATAAAATGCGGGAATGAATCCACAACCTCCCATGTGTTATATGTAGTTATGAATTAATTATTGGATTACAAATCACCAGTGTACTACTCCGCTCTTCTGCAAACAAAGCCCAGCGCTGTTTGATACATCAGCAAACAATGCGAGTATATATCTTCGCTTTGCAAACACAGCGAATCTGTTTTGAACTTTTTTTTTGCAAACAGTATACAGAGATTTCGCTATGCCGCAAACAGTAACCCAACCCACATATGTGAAATAGAAGTGTGTGATGTTCCGGTCTGTTTTGGGCCCTGACAACATTTCGGTCTATACTGGGCTCTGACAACGTTTCGGTCTGTGCTGGGCCCTGACAACGTTTCGGTCTGTGCTGGGCCCTGACAACGTTTCGGTCTGTGCTGGGCCCTGACAACGTTTCGGTCTGTGCTGGGCCGTGACAACGTTTCGGTCTGTTCTGGGCCCTGACGACATTTCGGTCTATACTGGGCTCTGACAACGTTTCGGTCTGTGCTGGGCCCTGACAACGTTTCGGTCTGTTCTGGGCCGTGACAACGTTTCGGTCTGTGCTGGGCCCTGACAACGTTTCGGTCTGTGCTGGGCCCTGACAACGTTTCGGTCTGTGCTGGGCCGTGACAAAGTTTCGGTCTGCCTGAGCCCTAATAAGGGTCCTGGAGGACCCCAAACGTCCCAGTTATCATTTCCTTTATAAGAATTTTGGGTTATTTGTTTTCAGTAACACATCTTTTTTGTGTATATTGAATGCAACATTTTTGTGCATCAACAGGAAACCCAAAGACGCTTTTATCAGCAAACAACACACACTCGTTTCACAGTGTAAACAATGTCCTGTTTCCCTCCTCTACAAACAACTCACGTCTCTTTCACTTCTTACAAACATTACAGCTATATAGCTAAGCTGCAAACAATGCATATATAGGTTTAGTTTACCTGCAAACAAACTTTGTTTTCGTTCAGCTATATAGAACACCGGACATTGACTTCGCTCATTTGCAAACACGTCATTGTCGCTCTTGTCTTTATGCAGCAAACATCTGTTTTTGTTTGTTTGTTTGTCTGGCTCTTCTTCATATATAACAATTTTCTGTGTACTTCCTCATTTCTTCCTCCCTTCCTTGTTCCCTCTCTTCCTTCTCCCAACAAAAACAGCAACAACTAAACATAAAAATTTCATCACTTATCCTAGCAGAAAGCATTAATAACCCCCCCCCCCACCTTCCCTTACAAAGAAACTTCAGCCATTAGGCCTGAAAAATGCTTCGGAAATTTGCATCAGATGGGCAAAAATATTGTACTAAAGTCGCCCATTTGTATCACTAGCTCGCTAATATGTAACTGTTCAGCTAAAATAATAATAATAATAATAATACACAGAAATCACAATTGCGTGATACATCAAATGAACAAATCCACAAGGGCCGTGATGAGGATTCGAACCTGCGTCCGAGAGCATCCCAGACGCTGCCTTAATCGACTGAGCTACGACATGGTCAAAAGGAGTTGAAACCGAAGTTCTACTGAACTTACTGGAAACTGCAGATGTAAAACCCTGGTTTGTGCCTCGGAGAGGCTGCAGGATCCAGTAAGTTCAGTAGAACTTCGGTTTCTACTCCTTTTGACTATGTCGTAGCTCAGTCGATTAAGGCAGCGTCTGGGGTGCTCTCGGACGCAGGTTCGAATCCTCGTCACGGCCCTTGTGGATGTGTTCAAATAATAATAATTAAAAATATGTTCTGGTATTTGTGTT